GGGGGGGGGTGAATAGGCACTTTAAAATAATTATGGTTTAGGCTTGAACAAATGCGGAATAAACCTATCGGTTAATTTGTCAAGCACAAAACCTACAACAACTAGGCTCACCTATGTGCACCAACAACTTATGCTAAGCAAGATATATGACAAGAAACAATATGGCTATCACAGAGAAAAGTGCATAAGTAAAGGGCTCGGGTAAAAGATAACCGAGGCACGCGGAGACGATAATGTATCCCGAAGTTCACACCCTTGCGGATGCTAATCACCATTTGGAGAGGTGTGGAGGCACAATGCTCCCCAAGAAGCCACTAGGGCCACCGTAATCTCCTCACGCCCTCGCACAATGCAAGATTTCGTGATTCCACTAAGGGACCCTTGAGGGCGGTCACCGAACCCCTACAAATGGCAACCCTTGGGGGCAGTCACCAAACCCGTATACTTTGGCAACCCTTGGGGGCGGTCACCGGAACCCGTCAAATTGCTCGGGGAGATCTGCACAACCTAATTGGAGACCCCGACGCTTGCCCGGAGCTTTACACCACAATGATTGAGCTCCGAACACCACCAACCGTCTAGGCCGCCCAAGCACCCAAGAGTAATAACCTTCTCAACTTGAAACTTCCATGTATCACCGTGGAGAACTCAAACTGATGCACGAAATGCAATGGCAAGGGCACACGGAGTGCCCAAGTCCTTCTCTCCCAAATCCCACCGAAGCAACTAATGCTAGGGAGGAAAATGAGATGAAGAACAATAAGGAGAACACCAAGAACTCCAAGATCTAGATCCAAGGGGTTCCCCGCACATAGAGGAGAAAGTGATTGGTGGAAATGTGGATCTAGATCTCCTCTCTCTTTTCCCTCAAAAACTAGCAAGAATCCATGGAGGGATTGAGAGTTAGCAAGCTCGAAGAAGGTCAACAATGGGGGAAGAACACGAGCTAAAGAGATAAGGTTCATTGGGGAAGAAGACCCCTTTTTATAGGTGGGAAAAAAATCCAACCGTTATCCTTACAGCCCGCACAGAGCGGTACTACCGCCGGAGTGGTACTACCGCTCGTCCTCACGGTACTACCGCTAGGGATCGCGGTACTACCGTAAAGGGTAGCGGTACTACTGCTTGCAAGCGGTACTAAAAAAACATCTGTGCCTACCACCGCATGACTTGGGACGAGTTTTTGGTCCGGAGCAGTACTACCGCTGTAGGAGCCGCGGTAGTACCGCTCTGGAGCGGTAGTAAAAAATTACATCCGCTCCAATTCGCGGTAGTACCGCTGCAGCCTTTTCAGAACACCAAAACCGCCACAACTTCTGCAAACGGACTCCGAATTCAACGAAACCAAGTTTGTTGGAAAGCTAGCGACAAGGCCTAACACAATCTTGATAGAAATAACAATAAGAAGCAAATTAGAAAAGGACCAAAAGAAAATGGTGAGAACCCTTCCTCGAATAGGACCGGTAAAACCTCCAACACCGAAAACGCAATAGAAGAAGCATGTGAACTCTGTTTTCAATGAACTCGAGCTTGTCAAGAAGATGACCACAAGCTCTAAAACCTCAAAATAAAATACAAATAAGAATCAAGAAAGATGATGCAAGGATGCAATGGTTTGAGCTCTCGATGAACGATACTATCAAGCTAGTCACTTGAGAGCCCCCCTTGATAGTTCGGCTATCGATCCTATAACCCGGTCTCCAAACTATCACCATGAGACCAGTAAAATATAAAACCTATCAAGGGCAAACCTTTGCCTTGCACGAAGTCCACTTAAGCTAGATAATGATGATCTTGACTCCCTCAAGTTGGCCCACCTTTCTTGATTGCGCTCGCTCAACGAAGACTAGTTGATTGCTCCCCCATACTCCACTATGAGTGATCCACTCTTTGGCACATCTTCACAAGTCAATTGACACCAAAATGTATGGCAAGATTCAAGCACTTGATCTCTTCGTGATGCTCCACTTGAACTTGCACACGACAATCTTGATGACGATCACCATTTGATGTCATCCTATCCATGGGTTGAGTGATATATTCCTCTTGATGCAAGCCCATGAACACGTACCTAACCCCACATAGAACTCTCACATAGACCATGGGTTAGTACACAAAGCACAATGGACAATGCTTACCATACCATGGGATCACTTGATCCCTCTCGGTACATCTTCTACGCTTTTTGAGTTGATCAATTTGATTCACTCTTGACTTAGTATTGATCAACCTTGAAACTTTCCAACTCTCTTCATTTGGATGATGTCTTGAAGGTAAACATGAATGATCACACAATCTTCTTCTTCAAGACATGCTTGCAATAAGCTCAACACTCGCATGACCAATCTTTGAATAATTCCTTAATAGCACCTTGGTCAACACATAAACTCCTTGAAACCAACACATGGACTTCAAGAAAAGCCTATGGACAAATCCTTCCAATATAACTCAATGCAACCATTAATCTATAGAGAATTTCATCAATTACCAAAACCACGCATGGGGGCACCGCATGTCCTTTCAAACATTGTATCGTGCACTCTTAGATGTTAGTGGGTAAATCCTCGCAGCGGGGCGACCGACTGAGCGCAATGCTAGTTGCTTGCGACTCGTTTGATTGTGGGCGATCCGCGATCGAACGCTCCTCCCTTTGCCCATGTTTCATGAAACCTCTCTGCCACGTGTCGCACGACTGGTGGGTCCTAGCGACCACTTTTTTTTTACTTCATCCTCTCCTTTATCTCTATTCTCGGCCTTACATGTTCATCTCTCCCCTTTCTTTCATCTCTCGTTTATTTGAGAACGCCCTCCCGTCTGAACACATACCTTTTACTCCCCATCTGCCCTCTTACCCCTCTCTCCATATCTGCGACCATGGCCGCGGTGAGTTGTAACGACGGTGCGATGAGCTGGAAAAGGAAAACAGACCATAGGATGCTGCAATTGTGACCGCGGCTTGCTGGACCAAACCCCGACGAGTAGCGATGGTCGCCGTGGCGAGCTGAAACCACGATCGCAGTTTGCAAGTGAGTTTATTTTTTTGGAACCTTTTTTTTTTGACAAACTAATAGACAAGTGGTTTTTTTTTCCAGATGGAATAGAAGTGAGTTGATCCCTATGGCTTCCACACATCGGACGCACCACATTGTCTAGGAGCACGGTAGCATGGCATGGCTCGTATCACAGGTTATTTTCCCCACCGCACCCATCTCCAAGGACGAGTTCTCCCCAACCCCGACCGCTGCATCTCCTAGCACTAGCAGGCCCCGTCGCCGCCGCCGCCGCCGCCTGTCCTCGCCGAGGAGAAGGCGTCAGGTCGATCTCCGCGAGGACTTCCTCTCTCTGTA